AGTCTTAAAAGAAGCTGAGACTTCACACCAGTGGTGGAAAATATTTTTCTGTACACAGTTAATTGCTATCCTGTATTCAAAAGATTTTTCCCTATTCTGTTCAGCTCTTGAAATCTAGATATTATTCAAAAGGGTAATCAGGGTTAACATATGATATGAGTATGGTAATTCTTGTCTTTGCTGCCATAAAGTTAATTAGTACTGAAGGCTATATTTGGCACATGTCTGCATACTTTGATCATTGAGCTGAACAGCATAGCAGTCAAACCCAAAAAATTTGTCTGGACACCTTTAATTGAGAACAATTAGAATTATTCCATTCTATGATTTGTCAAGTGCGAACCACTCATAAAAAGAGAGTGGAGAAATTTCTCTCTCCTGTTTCAGACACTTCAGACACTCTAATCTGAGTGGACCTCAATCTTAATAGAGTTTCCTTTGCCCTGAATATTGAGTAGAAAGGGACCAGCTGTGACTAGACAGGTAATTTTTACATGAGTAACATCAGATGGGATAAATCCTACCTAATAAACAACCACTTCCCACGGTGAGTCTTCTTCTGTATTAAGCATTAAATACTGTGAATAGTATCCCAAATTCATTTATGTTGTTTCCAGGCTTTATGCTCAATTAAATGATGTTGTATTTATTGAAAACCAACTAGAAGTCAGTACATTTTGAATATGGGGAAAAATTCTAAAGTCCCATCATTCCTCTCTTTCAGCCCATCTGTTTCTGGGTAGCCAGAGTCTTTCTAATACTCCTAACCACCATCTGAGCTAAGGTTACCATATGTCTAGGTTTTCCATGATAGTTTGTCTTTTCCAGCTGGAAGTTTTATTGTTCAGGAATTTGAGAGCCTCTATTATTTGTCCAGGAATTCTTGGCATATAGGTTCTGGCTCACAGCTAACTATTTCCTTCTGAAAAATGATAGTCTAAAATATGGCAGCCCTAGTGAGGGGAAAACCATCTGTCATGACTGTAGAGCTTAGATTTGAGCGCAGATAGATATATTTATCTGGACAGCTGCAACTTTGCAATTACTGCACTAATCAATAGTTTTTGGCTGCAATTTTTGCAGCAGCAGCAGTTACATTTACATTTTCTTTCCCAGCTGCAGCTGGGAAATGAAGAGAATGAAAAGAAAGGAATATCAAGGAAGCAGCACATCCGGAGGTGCTGATTCACAAGCAATTTTCTTTAGGATCTCTTCATGTTTTAGTGGTGAGACTCAGGGGAAAAGGACTGATCAATGGCTACAGACTTCAAGATACAACAGGAATAGCATTCACTCTAATGTGACCACTGCCACAACGGCACTTGCTGCCCAATGTGGCAGAGGCAGATCAGCTGTTGTTGTTACAATGGAAATGAATAAACCTATTAAAAATGCTCCATTGCTGCAAACTGTAAAACTCTAAAACTCAAATATCTAGTGGTGTTTTGGCAAATGGGAATGGAGTTATCTAATTGCATTGGCAAAACTGCAGGGACCGACATTTCCATCATTTTTCAGTGCAAGGCCTAATTTTTAACTGGAAAACCCTTCCTGATGCACACTTGGAGAGTAAATGGCAAAGGTATTTCTTTAGGAGAACCAAGTTGTTTTCCTTTTTTGCAGAAAGACTAATTTGTCACCACAGACAACAATGCAGATATTGATCATGAAAATTCTGTTCTTATTCAGAAAAGTTTCCAAACCTGCCTTCCCTGTGGTTTATGAAGTCAGTGAGTGGATTACACAGTAGAACAAGAGCCTAAATATTTGTAAAATGACAGTAAAATTTCCACTTCTTCTCTGATCTTGTTATTTATACCAGCTGTGTCTGAGGACTTGTCAAATTATGGAAGCTTCCCTTTAACCATTTCCTGATTGTAGCTCAGCTGGTCATCCATTCCAACAAAAAGAGGGAGCTGGGAGATATAGGAGATCCTAGAGACTATAGGAATATGAAACTTCATATCTACCCTATAAAACAAAACTGAAGGCAATTTCTTTTGTCTTTTTTATCTTTACATGTCAAAATACTCAAACTTTCAGGAGGTTATAGATCATATAATATATTTCTAAGTCTTTACAATGTGTTTTGTAGATAGTTAGTCAGTAAAAATATCTGACAATTACCAATTATTAGTTTCTCAAAGGCTCCTTTACCTTTAAATCACTGTATTGATGCTCTCATAAAATATGACTTGTTTAGTATTACTTTTATGTCTGCTGTAGCTTGCACACCATTACAATTACCTTCTATCTGTTCCATCTGGAAACAAGGAGAAGAACTTATCTTCTTTATAGTGTATGGAAAATAATTACCAGTGGTACTTTGTATAATAACTGAAGAAGAATTTTTACATCATAACTTGATTGCTGATTTCATAAGACAAATCTCTTTAACAATATATATTACAAGTTACTATCTGGACAATACCATAATGTTTCAAAAACCGTAAAAAAGCTCTTCCAAAGAAAATATTTTTATCACCCAGATGTGATGCACAGGATCACACCAACCTAAGGAAACAAAAAGTTGTTTGTCGAAACAGTTCCATCATGTCCCTTTTAATGTGACAATAAAAAAACCTAATCAGCAATAATGGTCAAATCTCACTAGACTTGAAATCTTATTTAGCTCAGATTAGCAGGCAAACTTTCAGATATTTATCTGAATTTAGTCAATCTATTTAAATGTAATGAGTAATGATAATAAAACCTTCCAGTCTGTAGTTCAGCAGCTTGGGCAGACTTAAACAGGCATAGAATTTCCATGAGAACAAGGATCTGATCATACACATTTTATTGCAGGAAGTGTTTCCTCATTAATTTTTCAGGTATCACTCTTAACCAGAAAACAAGTTTTTTGCAGCTTTTTGCTCTTTGTCCTAATCTCAGAACTGGAAGAGAAGCATAACGGGGAGGCAGCAGACATAGCTAAACTTTGCATACATCGAAGAAGAACCAAGATGTTTCAATTTAAATTGAAAGTGTGAAGAATTCCTTGAGTCATGACCAGAAAAAAAATGAGTTTCAAAAGCCTATGTGAAAAAATGTCACTGAAAGGGTGTTTCATATTCGCCACTATAACATAAGGGGAGGGAAATCTACGTATAAAAGCACAGTAAACTACTGACTATAAAATTGCCAACCCTCAATCATAATTTATTACCATAAAAGGAAAAAAGTTCCATATTTCCATATAAATGCCTATGTTTGTGTAGAAATTCAAAATTAATCAAATTTTGATGCCTGCAGGGGAAAAGAGAATCTATAATGCAGTGCAAACAATGTCAAATAAATAGGAACAGTCATGGATCAGATTTCTGATAAAAAAAATTGCCCCTGGGAAATTCAGATTTTTTTCATGAAGGTTTTACATCTTTATACAATGTAAAGACACACTCTTCACTGGTTGATTTATGGCAGCAAAATAAATATCTTCCCATCGCCAGTCAATATCTCTTTTAAAGATTAAAAAAGAATGTCAAAGCAAGCATTTGCAAGAAGACTTTCATCTTAAAGATTAAGTCTAATATAAAATTGCTCTATCTTGTCTTGCAACTATTTGGAAATTCATTAAATTTACAACAGTCATTTCATATGGAAATTACTACTCTCTCCTGAAGAGACTGTTAACTGTAGCCACGTATTTCATGGTCCATGACTGTATGAACTTGCCCTGTTTCAGCAAAGAGCTCAAAATCTGCACAAGACTTATTCAATGACAAGGCCTAAATTGGAGTTCAGAATATCTTTCTTGCCTTTTCTTCACATCTGCCTACAGAGGGGCTGGCTATGCATGTACTGTTTTGCTAATTGAGCATTAGATTAAGTGGACTGGTGTATTTGTTGACTGGTTTTTAGCAAATAAGTGGAAGAAATAATTGCCATCATGTGCAGTCACAAATCCACTTTACATTTTAATTTACTGTGTTTGTATGGGATCTTAATCCTTAAGATAGTTACACCCTACTGTAGCTAGCTATAAATATGATGCATAAAGTTTTCTTCTAATAGCGTGTCATCAACATTTGCATTTTCAGCATGGAAAAAAGAGTTTTGGAAAGGTCGATGAATTTCAAAATATTACAGTCAATATTTTGCAAGCTGAACAAATACAGTTTTTTCTAAGAGGAAAACTGCAATGCCATTGCTATTTATAAAAGTTGTTAGACCAGAAAGCCAGAGAAATTTTAACTAATTGCTGCAATTAAAGGCAGTCCTATACTTAGTAAATAAAACTATCTGCTTGTAAGCCATTCTAGGAACAATATAATCTAATGTTTCCGTCTAGTTTTTTTTTAATCGAACCTATTAGAATAAACACAAATATTTGAACTTTAACATGTGTCTTCAGAATATTATTACCTTATATCATATAAAGTTTTCACTAGTCAAATGAGACAGTGGTTAAATCTAGTGGTTAAAAAATTTATTTATTTTTTGAGAAATTTACTTTTTTTGGAGACAATCCATTGGTTCCTGTGTCAGGACCTGGAGGGCACTGACAGGGCTGTGTGTCCCCAGGGAGCCTGTCAGGGCCGCCCCGTCTGCAGGCCAAGGAGGCCAGGGCAGGCTCAGCCTGGGACCCCAGCCCTGTGCCTGGCCTAGGCCCTGTTGAGCCCAGCGGGGCTGCCCAGATGGACCCCAGCCCCTCTCCATGTAGCAATCCCACTCCAACTGCTTCCTGACATTAAGTTGCACAGGAAGCAGTATCATAAATGCTGTTGGATGCAAAAATTACATAGACCTTTCTGCACTAAAAAAAGCTGAGTTCTGTCAAAGTACCACCGGGCAAGAATTTCTGTTCTTCCACTGGGTAAAACTCACGTTTAAGCACCATCATCATGGTGAGGCTTCGTGAACAAAGATTTGGGAAGACGTGACAGTTCATGGGCAACCAGAGCAGACAGACGCTCAGGACATCCGCTATCCACAGAATCGAGCATGGTTCTGATGTTCCAGCATGCTAGAGTTAATTTGTGTACAGCTTTGGAGGCAGGTGTATATGCTTTTGTCTTTTGATATTTGTGTGACTGCATTTGTAGAAGATGTCGATACAGGGCTTTTTTAAATGTGGGTAAGGCCTTCGAACCTGCGCAATGGATTTTTTAGGTGAGACACAGTGTGCACAGAACTGAACCGCCTCTTTAATTCTAAGGTTCATCTGCCAGGGCAGAGCTAGCTTGGACGGTGGCAGCGAGGTCCTCAGGACATAGGTTTAGTTCGAGTGACCTTCTCTTAGATGGATGGCCTTACAGGGCTGATCGAGCTCCATCTTCCCAGGTTTAGAGTTGTCCTTCTCTTCTGTGTGTTCTGGGCTTCCCCTCTCATCTCCCACGATGGCACAGTCCGCACTGGCGAAGCTCCCCCTCTCTCGCTCCTTTCCACTCCCAAGGCCAGAGCCGGGCCGGGCCCAAGCACCCAGGGCCAGGCCACGCCACAGCGTGCACGTACCCGGGGCCACCCAGGGCCGTGGCGTGGCGTCTTTAAGCACCAAGCTACTATATTTATTTCCATGGAAGTTAATTCATCATACAACGGTCCCCAGCTGCTCTGACAACGGCTCTAAGAAGCACAGATGAAATTGTGAGTGATACTGGTTTGCAATATAGAATTTGTAGATACAGAACTAGAAAAAGAATGAGAAGTGCAAACTCACTTCACATAATAAATGAAAGATATAACAGAAGAGTGTAAGAAGAACTGTACATAGAGGAGGTGCGTGAATTGCTGCCAAGTAAGCACAGGTTGCTGAAACTGAGTAGACAAAGCTTCAGAATCCACTGGCTTCCCAAGACCTTCCCAATATAGATTTACCCTCTTTATAATTGGACAATCCAGTGTCTGGAAAGTCTTATGGTACCCAGGGCTCTGTGCCTTGAGGAACTGCCACAGTTTCTGGTAGTGTGGAACTGAAATAGGAATGTAAGTGTCCAAAAGAAAAATGCCCATCTGGACTGAAACAAATCAAATATTACAAAATTCTGTTGTATTAGATAGAAATCCCACTCCCAGCTGCAAACGATGACCCACAGGTATAATACTTGGTCATCACGGAGATCCTGCTCAAGTTGTCCTGTTTTGGGCCCAGTTAGGGTTAATTTTTGCAGTAGCCAGGAGGGGGCATGGCTAGGACACAGAGAATATTCTGTACCTCCTCACAGTCATTGCCAGGGGCAGAGGAAGGGAATCTCTTCCAAGGAAAAGGGGTTTATTTCAGTCGAGCAAGCGCAGTGAGCACTGCAGACAGAGCAGTTGGGGGGTAATGCTGGTCATGAGCTGGAGGGAGCAGTCAGGGTGGCACAGCTGTGGTTGGGTTGAGCTCTGCAGTGAATCACTCTTTTGTACACTTTTGTTATTAATATTGTTGCTGTTATTTGTTTTCTTATCTCATTGCTGTTTCCAGTAAATAGTTCTTATCTCAACCCAACTTCTTTACCTTTTGTGCCTCTAGTACAGTTCTCCTCTCCAGTCACCTGCAGGGGAGGGGAGCGGGAGAAAGGGGAGAGTAAGAGACTGGCAGTGTGGTTTGGAGAGTCTCAGTGGGAGAACTAAATTGCAGAGCAGCATTCCTAAAGCATGACACAAGTCCTCACAAAAAATGAAATTCCAAAGATATCAAAGATAATTCCCTAATGTCAATAGTATTAAGCACTTCTTTCATGAATGCTGTCTGTAGGGAGATGCTGTCATTATTTTGCTTTTCCTCTGCAGGTGATTGCCCTTCCTTGACATGAAGTTGCAGTTGCCATTTTGGTACTGCCCCAGTTTTCTAGTTCCCATAATAATGTATTGAAATTGTGTTCAAAAAATGTCACCCTAACTGTCCTAGATAGCTTTTAACCACTGAGGGGAAAGGGAATGTTTTATTGTTGTTGCTGCTTTTAAGATCTATTTAAATGTAATTATGAAAGTGGCAGAATTTGCAGACTGTGTTTCCTATGTTTCATGCAAGAACAACAGTTTAGATTCAAATACAAATAGGAACATAAGAGAAATGAGTGGTGAGGAAAAATACATGTTTTTATAGACAGATTAATATATATGCACGTGAACATTCTTTCATACATATACACAAATATTGTTTCAATTGGGAAAATTCAGAATGCAGTAGAGGCCTACTCATTTATGTATCCTGCAAATTTATACTTATGTAAGCTGTCTATATATAGTGGAATCAGTGGTCAGAAAAATTATTGAAGATACAAGCTTCACTTGCCAGCTCTCAACTCCTAAAGATCTTGTACAGAGAATCTCCTTTTGTTGGATGAATACTTAAAGCAGATTGAACCACTGGTCCACATGCAATCAACCCAGGCACTTGTAGCCTTAATTATGAGTGACAGCCCAAGCCAGAACCTCAGTGCTGGCTCACTTCACTCCTTCATCTCTGTATCCTCAGGGATTACAATTCCAATGCCTCTGTTGCTAAGGAAATTGCACAATTAAACTAGCTTTCACAGGGAAATCAATTACTCCTCAAATTTTTGAGTTCATTTTGACATCCCAGAGCCATCTTCAGGACTTCATATTGAAATGACACAACTACAACATTATTTAATATCACTTTAACTTTTCATTTCCTTAGGATATCTGTTTCTACTTTCCTACTCTTGCCCCAAAATATATCTTTTGGACAAAGAAATATGGCATTGAGTGGATATATCACATCCCTTGTCACCCACAAGCCTCTGGAAAGGCTGGTACAATGGACTGCTAAAGACTATGTTAAGAGCCTTAGGCAATGGGGCATGGAAGCATCAGGATGCAAATTCAGCAGAAGCCACTTGTCTGGTTAATACCAGAGAATCTGCTAACCATCCTGGTCTTGCCCAAACAAACCTCTTATGTACTGTGGGAGGAGATAAGGTACCCATACTACACATAGGGAATTGGCTAGGAAAGGCGGTGTGGATTTTTCCTCCTACGGGAAAAGGCAAACCCATTTGCGGGATTGTGTTTGCTCAAAGGCCTGGATGTACCAGGTGAGTAAGGCAGCAGGATGAGGAAACCTGGTGTGCACCTCAAGGAGATTTTGCTTTGCTGTAAAAGAACCTATTATATGACACAGGAAGTAAAGTGGAAGGAATAACATGGAGCAACAGAGAGTGGATTTTCTAAGGAGCAAGGACAGTGTCATGGTGACCCAGGACGGGCTGGTGTTGGTGCTCAATGATTGAGTGTGCTGTTTCTCCTGTCCTGAGCACCCACCATGATGGAGTGAAGCCTAAGTCATGGCCCTTTTTTCACCATCTGGAGTGGTGGTGGAAATCCATGGAATGAGAAAATAATATCTACCTGTGAAAGGACAGGAAATAGTTAATGAAAATGTATACATCTGTATGTTAGCTATAAAGCTGGTTTATGTACTTAAAGTTGTAAGTGTTGGTAAGAAGGGATTTCAGTATTGAGAAGTAAATACAGTGGAATAGTTAGAAGAGATATATATAAACACACACGCACATATATATATACTATATAAAATTATATGGGATCTGAGCATGAAGCAAATGGTATGGAATAAGGGGTAAAGATTGTATTGGCTCTGGCTGAGATATGAAGTGCTTCCTGTGAAGTGGCCAGACATTGCTTGCTGACGGAGTGTAGAAAATAAACTTTTTTTCCTTTGCTTGTACACACATAACCTTTTGCTTTTGTTTTAGAAAATTGCCTTATCTCAACCTATGAGCTGTTTTCTATCTTATTTTCTCTCTCCTGTCCATCTGAGAAATGCAAATGATAGAGCAGTTTGGTGGGCACCTGGGACTCTGACAAGGTCAACCCACCACAGCCCTGAACATTTTTGCTTCATGGTTCACTTGAATGTCTCTGATGAGGGTGACATATTTACATTATTACTCTGTCTTTATTCAGATAAAAATTATTTCTGTTTCACAGATGTCATATCCACCTATGTACCCTACCACTCATATTATGATTTTTCTTTCAGTCATACTATCTTGTATGTGTGTGCACACATGCATATATGTGTGTGTGTTTAGGTATATACAGGTATATAATAAAACTTCATTTCTTGCCTGGTCAAATTTTCTTATGCAGTTCCAATTTATCCTGTCTAATGAGACAACTTCTAGCAGCAGACATGTTGACAGTAAAAGTAATAGCTTTACAAAAGCAGTAACCTGTTGTTGTACATTGCTATATTGAAAAATGGATGCTCTGGTTTGGAGCACATCTTTTTATTGAGCGACTACACTTTGTGAGAAAGATACGTGAGAGAGAAGAACTTTCCTAATCACCAAATGTTCTGATAAAGAAGACCAATTAATCTTTGTCTATTAGAAATGATGATAGGGATTAATGCCTGTAAACTAGTGTGAAGACAAAGTTAAAATAAAACTTAACAATATTGAAGTTCTTTGCAATTCTTCTTTCACGCTCTGTGCAAATTACTTTGCACTCATGCCAGTCTATGGCTTAATACAATTTCTGGGATCTGGTATGTCAGTAATGCTGAGAAAAGCTTACAACTATAAATTATCCTGGCAATGACTATTATCTAAACCTGACTGCCTAGCTGCATTTAGATTAGCTCATCTTTCCTTGTTATCTTTAGGGAGTTTACCTAAACACAGCCAGCTCTGTGAGAAAGCCAGCTCTCAGACAGGAAGCTCCCCTGTTTGCTCTGGCCAGTGGTGCAAAAACGATTTGGGATCGCCAAAAGCTTGTGGCCTGACCTGTAGCAGGTTTTAAGGGCAGCCCTTTGTCTACCATGCAGGCTACTAAGAAGTTCTTCATTCATTACATTATGGCCTTAGTCTTTAAGTATTAGGCTGATGCAAAGGGTTTTTCTCTGGCCTCAATGCCACAAACAAAACTATTGCACTCACTTGTGAGCATACTCACAATGTTTCACAAATCGTGGGTGATGATTAATGCTGTGTATTTCTGAGCTCCAAAAGAATTCAATTAATGGGAAAATGAAAATCTCTTGCAATGCTGAGCTTACTGTCATTCACTTTTACCACTACCTTCAAAGAGGAGTCAAAAAAACAACAAAGCATTCACTCTTTTGCAGTATGTATTATAGGCTCTTGAGGGATTCTGTACGTAACAATATTACTGAAGGATTAAAACGATAGACCATCAGTCTAAAACACTGATTAAGATTAGATGCAGTGCAATCCACAGGCGAAATTCACTGGTATGAAGTCAGTAATCACGCTGTATGTGAAAGAAGCCTGGAGGCTTCCAGGTGCTTCATTTGATCCTTCTAACCCACCGCCTACACTGCAGGATACAGAGCTCCCCCAGAGCCATAATCTCTTACCTGCAGACTAGAGAGAGCAGTAGTGTGTTTCATAGAGCCCTGGGTCAAATGGACTTGCATGAGGCAGCCTCTCCCAGGATCCCTCGCACATCCTTCCACTTGTGCCTTTCCTGAGGATACACAGACACACACATATAGAAACATGACCCTAGAGGGTTTATCATTCCCCTTCCTGCCATCAGCCATTTTCAGCTAAGAGAATTATTTTCAATTTCATAGAATCATAGAATCAGCTAGGTTGGAAAAGACCTCTGAGATCAAGTCCAACCCTTGATCCGCTACCACCGTGGTTACT